AAGTCAACGATTTTCTCGTTCAGGCACCTGATAATACATATTTGCTAACGAAGGTAGTGACGGTCACAGGAATTGCAGAAGTATGTAGTTCTGATATGTTATGCAAACTTACTTTGGACAACGTCAATTTAAAAAATTTCGATGACATTATTGTAGTTACAATTTCGGATTCTAAAAATGGTATGTCACGTACGTTTACAATTACTTCTCATCTGGGTTCTGTTCCTAGAAATTCTCAAGAAACATATCAAGATTAGATTGGAAATTAAAACTGAAATTTCACGCTTTTTTATGCCCTATCAAGCAGGTGGATGTTACCACCAACCAGTCGGCAAAAATACCCTTTCCACGATTCCTAATAAGATTGCACTGTTTTTGAAACTAGAACATCCTGAAACATATACAGGCCATTCATTCCGAAGAACATCGGCAACGTTACAGACTAATACAGGAGTTGATGTATTAGCAATCAAGAGTCATGGTGGGTGGAAATCAGCCACAATTGCAGAAAGTTATGTTGCTGACAGTTTAAGTAACAAAAATGAAATAGCCAACAGTCAGTATTTGTCTGTTTTAAATGTGCCATATGCTTTGTTAGTTGGTTCGTATCAAATCGCTGATTTCGGAGAGAGGTAATTGCCAGGGGATAAAAAAGTTGCGCCACTTTGATGAAAATCTGTAACATCGCTAAGCTTTCCAATTTCATTTCAGCTGGAAATCGAACGAAAAGTCAGGTATTTCATAATTTTTAATTATTCCTTATCGTTTCGATTTCAAGCGGTTGTTCCTCGGAACCATTAATTCTGAGCCGTGATTCTTCCCGAGATCGATACCCGGCTTCGTCCTGTCGGGCAAGAAGATCCATTTTCCGCCTCGACTCCCAACCGAACGCCGCCTGTCTTGATCCGCGTCATATATATCATCATTCATTTTATTATTTGATACGGCGAAGTTAATTTTCCTACTTCTATATATTAGTTCCGTGCGGAAGTACAATTTGATAAGACAGGCACAGCTCCGACACATCCATGTCCCATAACCCCCATGAGTAATAGCCTCAGCCGGGAGTCGGCGAGATATGGGTAACCTGTCCGTAGGCATCAGCCTGTCAGGATGGATGCGCCTCCATTTGTTATCAGCGCCGCCGTAGTGGCTTTCTTTCAATATTCCCGAACAGGCTGCGGGGCTGGAAAAGGATAGTCGAGCGTTTATTTATCGCTTTTATTTATTTACGATATGGGACCGTTTCTCATTTTTTAAAAATGTTTCGTAGTACCGCACCAGGCGATTTGAGAACTTGCCAAACGCTTTTAGAGGCTTTACAACAACAAAAACAATCCCTTACTATACTTTGCAACTCTACCAACCAAAAAGATCGAGGATCACTCCACAGACCAACCAGGACGTGGTTCACGGAGACGTTAAAATTTGCTCGTAAATTTCGAAAGCCACCAGCGAAGCTCCTTGTCGTGAACTGGGCGGAAACAGCGGTGGCTGTGTACGAACGTCAGCCTTGGGAATCTGTTTGAACTTTATTAATCAGCTTTTTAGTTTGCTTTCAGTCGCAGCCTTTATTAACACGTCGTCATAAACGTCTTGGTTATACGTCTATGTATTTTTGATACAAACAAAATATATTGGCTGAATTTACAACTTCTGGTATTTTATCGAGCTTAGTCTAGCAACTGCTAAATTTCTCAGTCCAGACTACGTTATAGTTCTGAGACTTAATAGGGTTACATGAAAACTAAAAAGAACAGTGGAAACAAGACTAAAATATGAAATTACTAACCTGACACCATAATTAAATATTTCTGTAATGTAACATATCAACAGTGTTCTATCTATCACTTAAATTACAGAATACAGTATTTTAAAACTTACAACTTATGATCTGCAATCAAATAATCATATTAAATGATGACCTTTAAACTTAAGGTCAAAGTCAGCACAAGTGACAAGTTTGAAGAAAACTAAGGGGTCTCCATTTTCTGAAAGGGATATCCTCCAGAATTTCAGTTATTTTCTAATAAAGATAAATAAAAAATAAATAAACACAGCCAGAAGCAACAGTTGAATAACGGGAAGTTTTGGGACGAGCAAACCATAGAAGATATTTCCAAAAAATACAAGAATTTATGTGTTCCTTCCGACCCTTTTCCTATATTTATAGACCGCCTCTTCTATATTTTATAGCGTTTTCAAGGACGCATTAACGACATCTTTCTGTAGAAATAAACAGATCAGAAATGAGGATTTTCAGATAAATATATTTTTTAAATATAAGCAATTATTTGCACTGAACTAGTAAGTGTTCAGTTTTATTCTTTGAAACAATGTTTTTGAACATTTTACAAAAGTAAAATTGATGTACAGAAAGATGTACCAGAAGTAAAAGTCGTCACTATTACACATTCGCATCATAGTTTTATATAACTCATATTAAATTTAAGTGCAGAAGTTTTCTATTATTATCGAGGTGTTTACATAAATCAGTTATTTCTCTGTGTGTGTACGTTCAGTACAATATTTGAGTTTTCCTTTTCAAAAAAGCCCCACTTTCCGCCGCTCCATCACCGAAGAGCCCTCTCCAATTGCGTCAAAACTCCACGATTCCACAACTCAAAAATGTTTACAGTTCTCGAGTCAACATATAGTTTCAATACGGCAAATAAAAAGTTTCCTTCGTTATTTCAGCGTTACGACGTCCTCGGAAGAGGAATAAAAGTTTTTAAAAACGCCCCGACATCGGAACAAAACGACGAATCCTCTCCTACTACAACTGACGGCATATTATTCTACTGTGTCCCGTTCAACTTTCCAGTTGTAGTTATTAGAAACTTAATTTATTCTGTCCTGGGACTTTGTTTACTCAAGCGGAAAAGTCTGGGATAATATTTTGACGTGATTCTTCGCCGGAATCAGGAGTGGGATATTTTTGTGGCTTGAGACGGCACCTACAGAGTTAAAAGTGTCGACCCTCATGCTTTACATCTAAAAACTATGTATTGTAGATATTTCTAGATTTAGTTTTTATTTATAGTATCTATGAGTAACCATAGTTATTTTTAACGATAGCCTCAGAAACGACATAAAAGTTACTTAAAGACGGATTTAAAAAAAATTACGACAAATTAATTTTCCATCTTCAAATATTTACCTTCGGCAGGGCCTTTTAGGGAGCTTCAATGACGTTTTTTGTATTAAAATAGCAGCAAGGAATGTTTACCAATACCCCAATATTACTTTTATGATTTTGTGCTATTAAAAGGAATTTGGGGCATAAAGAAGCTTCGCCTCTAACGGCGATTTTTTTAAATTATTCCCTAACCCAACCAGAAACCGAGCAACCGTGTTTCAACAAAGGAAAAAAATCTGAGCAATAAATAACAATTAGGGTAATCCTCGGGACTTTCTTCGAGAAAAGGGCGACAATGGAGGCACGACCTTCTTAGCTGCTAAATAATTCATGATTTCATTAGCAATATAAATGTACTGTGTGATTCCAGAAATGCCAGAAATTTATTATGTCCGAACGTGACTCGCTAGATTTTCAACAGATTTTGGGGTCTCAAGAACTGGATTCCTCCAAGTAGAACGATATTTTTTTATTTTGGTAAATACGAAATTTTAGAAATAATTATCACCGTATTTCGTATCAGACATATAACGTACGTATATGCGTTTAACGTGGACACTCTTGCACTAATGTTAATTTATTTAAAAGTTCGCTAAAATAAAATTTACTATACATCAAGGCTCGCATATAACGTAAAGGCATTTAACGTACAATGTGTTGATATAACGTGTCCATTTATATTTTTCCATATAACGTACGTATATGCATTTAACGTGCACACTCTTAAACTAATGTTAATTTCTTTAAAAGTTCGCTAAAACAAAATTTACTATACATCAAATCTCACATATAACGTACAGGCATATAACGTACACTGGATCATACGATTTTTATTTTCCCTGAAGTGGAACCAAAATTTTTTTGTTGGCAGTAAAATTTGGATATAACGTAGACTTAGTTTAATCAATTTACTATTCTAAGCACGTTACACAAATCTATATATTAAAGCTTATATATATAACGTAAACGCAAATAACGTACACTGGGACAAAATGTACATCTAATGTAACGTACTAACTTGAATTGTTTCGATAAGCACATTATGCATGAAATAGTGGAAGTCCAAATCCTGTATAAACGTATACGTATTTAACGTACACTGTTATACCAACGTTAATATTTTTTCGTATAACGTACATATATTGAACATGCACTTTGTTATAACGTGACATCATTTGTTTCAGCATAACGTACCGACTTTCATGTCCCGAGGAATACGTTATAGCCGAATCCCACATATAACATACTTGAAAGAAAGAAAGCGTAGTTAATGTAAGAAAATTACGTTTTTTTACACAGATATCTATTGCCCTGTCTCCTGCCGAACCCTTTCCAATTTTAACTTGCAATCCAGACATATTTCCCCGTCGTCCGGCCGTTTTTTCAGCCTGTCGAACGTATTGTAACGCTGCGACGTGAAGTCGGCCCCCGAACAAAGAACAGATAAAGCTGATCCCAGTTCATTATGCACCCGCTTTTCTCCGGCTTTTGTCAGAAATTAAATGAAGAGCAAAAGAGTTCTCGCCTTGGTACCGGCAACGACAGAGAATTACTCTCTCACGCCGAGTAATTTTAGAGTTGTTCGCGTGAATCGCGGCGTAATGCAGTTTTCTGACGAGGGGCGCTTGCAATATTAATAAATGAGGATGTTTCAAAGGAGCGGAGCCTTTTGGTTTCTAAAGAATGTCCTGATTGTGGGGGAGGGGTGAGGCATATCTAGCTTCATTGTATTCTTAAATGGAGTAGACGCGGTTAAATAGAAATAGTTAACAAATGTAGCCTACTTTTTTATAAAACTAACGTACTTTTCAGAAAAATATTCGGAATATTTTGGTTAACTAAAATAAATACTCTGTTGCAGATGTTCCCGTAGACGATCCAGTTCTGTCAATAGCCAAGGAACTGCTAGAGATGGGTTCTACACTTAAGGGCAACTGTACCACACCTCCATCTTATCCAGCTGGAAACGTAACCTGGTACCTCAATGGACGAAAAGTAAGCACATTACCTTGAAATATTTAAAAAAATGTGACGGTTCACTGCTTGTTTTACCAAGTTAGAAATGGAAGTTTACTTACACAAAGGAACGTCATTGAATAAATATATAAGTGAAGACTTAAAACTAGTAAAACTAGAATATAACGTACAACCCTTTAACGTACACAGTTATAACGTACACTCGATTATAACGTACACATTATATCATATATCGTACCTTTCAATTGCCTTATAGGGTACGTCATAAACACAATTTACTCTATTTCTTTCCTTGCAGTCACACTTGTAACTCCAAACTCGTTAACTTTATCGCGTAAGTTGGGTTGCCGGTCCAGAGCAAACGACAAAACGACGAGGGCATTACAAAGCGCACCAAATCCGCAAGAATTCTGCCCCCATATCTGAAAAGGACCCTGAAAAATTCCCATGTCATTACATGACTTCCTACGACCCTCCGGTATGCATGGCAGGTACTTGGCGTCTATCCGGAAGGAAAGTTTTAATTTGAGTATCGTCGCTTGCCAAACTTTGCATGCGTTGGGACAAACTTACTCGCGGTTACACATGGTTATGGCTTCCCCCTGGTAGGTGTTAAACTAAAGTTTAATCCTCTTTGTTTATTCGTCATGAGGCCTGAAATGGGGTGTTTTAATGGAGGTGCTTTTTGAATTCGTATGTCAGTGATGGCTATTTATGTTAGCAATCCACAGAAAACTGCAATGCGATATAACGTATAATAATGTGTACGTTATTGTTGAGTGTACGTTAAATACTTAATCCGTTATATTATTTAAACTGTTAGTCACAAATATCATATCTTTTACGTCAATTGAAAATAGTAATAATGTCAAAACACGTACGTTAACATCAAATAAATGTACGTTATATGCGAGTCTCGCCGTATTCGCTTCAGTCGCAAAGAAATAGTACGAAAACAGCTTCCGGGATAAAACTTATATTGAATCGACCGCCCGTCGTCGGGCAAATGTTTTTTGTCATTACTGGTCCCTCATCACACACAGACATTGGCACAATCCCGCCTATATATATCGAATACAAGAAAATTCTTCTGATGACGACTCCGGCCCACGCGGTATATTGAGTTTTTGTCCGGGTTCGATTTGCGGGGATATTTGACAGTTACGGAACGGGTGGCGCCATCTGGTCGCTTTTTTGACAAAAAAAAAGAAGGGCGACCGATAAAACGGACAAGGAACGTCGAGGGCTCCAAGGAGACGTTAAATCAGGTCCAATGTGAAGTGGCAATTTATTCAATTGCTCTAACCTAAGTTTATAGAAAATTACTGGCTTTAGAATCTTCATTCATAAATTAAAATTGTAATACACCGCCCCTTCGGCCACACAAGTCACTGGCTTCCGGACCAATTCTTCCCACATCTAACCGGTCGAGCCTCCCGAATTTCCTCCGTATATTTTTATTGGCGGTCCAGAAAACCAAAGCTAATGTCCCCATGTGTTGCTCGGGACAAAAGACAGTGTAAAGTGGCGAGCAGCCGCCGCGCCCCCAGCCGGAGACAATAATGAAGTCACGTACTTCGCCCCTGCTGCCGGCGCGTACCCGAACAGCCGGCTGGATCGGAATTAGAGTCACGCTCTCATATGCACAAGAAGTTGTAAATTGAAAATTATTCGCAATTTCTTTTCCGCCGCGGACCGGCTCTGATCCGTCTCGGGGAGAGGTTTTTCTTTATTTAATAGCGACAAACTGATTTCCGAACGTCGCGACGCCGCGGTTTAATTGGAATTAGGATTCGAAACGTCCGAGATTTCTATTAGGTTTCGCGTAATTCCCGTTTTTATTGCTTTCCGTCGCGCTTTGGCTCTGATACTTGCGAAATTTAATCTGGAAATCGCGCTGCTTTGGTATTAGAAGCTGTATTGGAAATCGACAAACACATCTACAAAGTCCGAGAGAACGCAAACTACTCTCTACTAAGTGGAGAACAGCAATACGTTAGACTCTAAGTCCATCACCTGTTCCAGGCGATTACAATCCAAAGATGGGCAAAATCTAAGAGCTCAATTATCCAAACTCAGGCGGACTTCGCTACAGGACCTTTGCGGACCCATCGAGACCTGCGAGCGATCGTCGACCCTTGTACCTCGCAGTTCAGTAATCATAAACAGATGCCAGTACGACTCAATATTTCTAATTGTCTTATACACAGTCAATTACGAATTAACAACCAATTTATTGAAAGAAATACATTTGGGGTTTTCTGTAACAGAATAGAGGAATTCTGAAATTTTTGAAACACGAATTGCTAATTTGAAGCACAAAAATATTTTGCTAAAATAATCCTTTCTGGTAACATTGACTGGCAAAGATATAGCTTTGTAAAGTGCCACGACTGCACGTTTTAAAATCAAAGTTAATCAAATATCTCGTTGGGGCAAAGGCGACTGAATCCATTACATCAAACACGTAGACACCATCCAACATTTCTCTCGCGACGATTCCGGTACGGAACCGCCATAGTTAGATGTCGGTTGATACAGCGTACATTCGCTAATGAACTTTGCATGTTGGCACTTGCATATTGACGCAGCGAATCAACACGGTTTGCACAGCTCCGGTCGTTTTTTTGTTCCGCGAACGTGTTAGATCCTGTGTGTGCGGAATGTCCTGAAATCCACTTGAAAATTGGTTTCTAGAATACATAGTGCTAAAATTTTCAAGTGAAAGAGCATTTTTGAGCACTTGTCTTTGTTTAAACGTAACTTTATTTATTATAATTGGTCTTGGTTAATCAACTCCAGACAACCAGAGCAGACGTTCGATCACATCCACTGATAGCTCCGGTAATTCTCGAGATTGATCTTCGCTGGAGAAATAAAAATGTTGTAATGAAATTTTGTAACATGTGGAAATAAATTCTCAATTTCAAAAAATTGGGCGCCGTTTTAGCCAGATTCGTGTGACTCCTTACATTAAAGAACTTCTAGAACGAACTTGTTGAAGCGTCCCACTTACGAAGTTGAAATTAGCGATTTTTCTACCGAACAACTGATTTTGTGATACACGATAAGCTCTTGATCTTCAAAAATATCAAGTTTATTTCCCAATATTTGCTATTTTTTTTTCAAAACGTCACAAGATTAGCGAATCACCTTGTATAATGTGATGTCCTTAAATTTGATCACGAAATGTGCTTCCGTAACTTTTACGAGACATCTTCAACAAACCACGACAGCTCTCGATCGAGGCTGGCAAGTAGGCGAATTTTTTTCCTTATTTCTGCTCATTTACCGCTGCCTTATCCTTGCCGCTCTTGCAGAACGCGGGGATCATCAGAGAGGACGGATAGTAATCACTATCCGTCCTCGTCGACCCAGATCTGAGCGTAGCGATCTAAATGAAGCCGGAATCGAAATTAGCAAGCCATCCGTAGCCGGAGAAAGACCAAAGGGTATTTTTTACCAGGTTCCCGGTTGTAGATTAGAAGAGGGGCAATTACTCTCGGTTAGAAATCCACTACCTTGGCTTAAGGCGGTTCCCCGTCCGCCATTAGTCTGAATTGGGGGGTTTAGGCGAGATTACTTGCAATTAATTAAGGCAACTCTGGCGGCACTTGAAGAAGTGGCCGGAATTCGGGGACGCGACGCGGTGGCTACGGTGCGAAAACGTCTTTCTCGGCTTAAAATCTGGACCTGGTAATCGGGTTCATTAATTCTCGGGGGAGCGCGTCTTATCGCGTCGCCCTTGTAGTTCTGTGGGTGATACGAGGGTAGCAAGAAACGTTTTCTTATATTATGTACAAAAATCTTGTATGGACGGGTGTCTTCTTCCAGTTTCCTTGGAAAGGCGTAAAAAAAATAAAAAAGGCAATGTTGAAAGTGAGGTAGAACTACTCTTGTTCTTCCAAGATCTACCGGTCAATGGATAGAAATACGGAGTAATCAGACCAGTTGCACTAATGAGATGTTGCTTGGATCTTAGTAAAGTAATTTTAGGAAACGGATCAAAGAAATTCGATATTTTTCATAACCAGTGGACTCCTACAAGTTTTCGCGATTTTTTTTTGGGCGCCAGAAAATTTTCCTCGTGTAGCTCCAGTCGGTAGCATCCGTTTGAAGAGGGTCTCTTTATTCGAAATATTTTTAAACCCTCGGGAGAAAACACGGTATTTCGCAGCGCGATAGGGGCCGTGAGCTGGGTCTATCGATTCGTATTTGTTTATTTCCAACTCGAACGGTGTGTTTACATTGCGTCGAGTCAGCCGGAATCAAAAACGTAAATGAGTATATGCAGGGTAAGCCGTCCACTTCATTAGGTCGGGAATTTATGTTATTGCACATCGGCCGGAACGGTATTGGTTATATATTTTTTTCGATCAAGCCTTTGTTTCGATTAAATTTCGATTTAATTAAATGAATAATCCACTGATTGAAGTCAAAGCACTGAAACGAACAAATATTATCTAATACTTTACGTATATGTAACGTGTCTGCGGGTGTAGTTCAATGCCGGTAAGGGCTTTAGTCTGCTGAGTAGTTGAAAAGTTTATGTTATCTAATATCAAGTTGGTCATGCTTTCATAGTACCAGCGGATTAGTTGGTTGTTTTCTACCAGAAAGTACAAAGTAATGCTTTATATTCAAAGCAGCCGCTGACAACGTGCTGCAAAGCCTAAAAAAATCACGCGAGGTTTCGGCTTTAGAAAATAAAACTTTACTAAAAATTCGAGATGCGAACTGGGTAACCACAATACAAAATCAAGCGGACTTCTCTATAGGACCGTTTGCGGATTCATCAACGAAGGTGATCGAACGTCGACTCATATTAGAGATAACCTTCGAAGTAATTGTGATGGCCATATTAGCTGTTTATCAAGTATTGCGGATGCATAACAACGCTAGTCAGAGTAGTTGTTTCCCAACTTTACTTTACGTCAATCGTTCGCATAGCCGCCTTTCCTTAATTTCCGGACAACGCCATTTTATAAAACAAACGAATTAAGAAATGCGATAAAACGATCGTTACATCTGAAACCCCTCCTTGTTTCTCCGGAGGAGCGGGTAAACTAACAAGGTATTGTCATTTAAAACTAATTCTGAGTAATTCAGTTTCAGGTTACTCTCCGGTGCACATTCCAGCTATAAACTAGAGCTCGTTTAGAGACTGGCCTCGTTTGTTTTGCGCGTTAGTTTTAACACATTTTAATGAACTTTAAGCACAGCTAAGCCGAGTTTATAAAATTACATTGTCAATTTTTAATTAGTTGCCCCGTTATATTAATTCTAAACTGTAAGTCCGACGCGAAGTGTTGCGGAAATTTGTTTTCGGATGCGATTATCGAGGTGGAATAAACAGATTTGGGAAATTGAAAGTTGAAATTGCATTATATCGGAGAATAATGAATTTGTTACAATTTACAATGAAGCGCTTGTCAATTGTAACAGGTTACATTTGACTACGTTTACTACTTAACGTTAATTATTTTTATTATACAGATTGTTATCAACTGTGTACTACAGTATACTGTATTAAGTGTAGCAACAGTTAAATTGGTAGAATAAACTCGAAAAAAAAATTGATACAGAAAATTGTCTAAAAAATTGTATCAAATCAACATTTTCCTTTAAAATGTTCGATATAACATTAATCCACAACAAAAGAACTATTCCTTCAAACATTGATCCATATCGCAGCAAGGTTGGAGGCCTATTAACATCACCGCCACCCCCTAGAAGGCACGACAGTGATCCTACCCCCCGGCCCCCTCGTCGCGCCGCCCCCCGTGTGCGTATGTATCAAACGGCGTGACTGCAACCGACACAGCACAGCCATTAATTTAATTCGTTAATTAATAACGGCCTACTTGAATTTAGCTACGCAAGCAAGTATGTAACAATTAAAATGACAAATGCAATTACTACCATAAATCCAAATTTAATAACGCCAGAATAAACAATAAATGATGAAGTGGCTCTGCTACAGATCCACTCGTGGAACCAGCGGCGTGGAGGAGCTCCCGGACTAACGGGAAGGGGGGGGCGACACTGAAGCGTCACGGGGTGGGGGCGCTTTGATAAGTCTTTTATTAGCGTTGTGACGTCGCGAGGTCTGATCCAGTGGCGTGGAACAAACAGTCAAACGAGAGTTACCAAACACAGCTACAGTACATTGAAAAGAATTTTAAAATTACTCAAAAATGGGAAAATACCTCAAAATGTTATAAATTATATCGTATTACTTAAATACTCAAGAGTTACACCCGTTTACCACGCCACTGGCCGTAATAATGAACGAACTGTTGTTTAGTGGTGTATTTTTGTCGGACGAAGTGCTCCGCGTGATGAATTGCTAGGTGGTGTTGTCACTTGGAGTGATAGGGGAAGGTTTATCGTCCCTCCATGGCGCGTAGCCGACTGTTGACAATGCTTGATAATAAAACGGGCCCCGGCGGATGTAATTTCGCAGGACATGCGGTACTTTAATGCATAACAAGCGGACCGGCCCCTGTGTCTCCGCATACAATACGTTCATCAGCCGTTTTCTCTCTTGCCCGGACTTGTCGCTGATCGCCGGATGTGATTGAGCGCCTTTGATGTCCGATCTGCGAGGTTTTTACGCATGTCGCAACAATGGAGTAGCGCGGGGGGGTCAGTTGCGACGGAAAATGATCTCGTACGCGGTTTTTTACGTCAGCGAAGAAAGACATACTTTTTCCCACTATCGTGCGTAAAGTACTAACAAATACCTCGCTGTACATTACGCACCTTTTTTCACTGTAACGCGTAATGTACATTAATGAGAAAATTACATTTTATCACGACGGTACTGGCAACAATAACCTCCTCAATCTACATGATTTATAGGTAAATTTTATTCAAATACTACTTATTTATTTTAAAATACGCGTTAAAGTTGTTTTAAATACTAACATGTAAAATTAAATAGCTTATACGTTAGTGCGTAATGTACATTGTTTATAATTTAATCTAACATCCACTTTTCAGTAGTAAAATGCTATTATGGTAACTCATCTGTACAGTGCGTAATATAAAATATTTTACGCTCTAATGCGTAATGTACATTGTTTACAATTTAATCTGTAACATCTACTTTTCAGTAGTAAAACGCTATTGTGGTAACTCATATGTACAGTGCGTAATATAAAATTCTTTACGCTCTAATGCGTAATGTACATTGTTTACAATTTAATCTGTAACATCTACTTTTCAGTAGTAAAACGCTATTATGGTAACTCATATGTACAGTGCGTAATATAAAATTCTTTACGCTCTAATGCGTAATGTACATTGTTTACCATTTAATCTGTAACATCCACTTTTCAGTAGTAAAACACTACTGTGGTAACTCATCTATACAGTGCGTGATATAAAATACTTTATGCTCTAAGCGTAATGTACATTGCTCTATAATTTAATCAATAAGACGTAGTTTTAAGCAGTAGAAGGCGGTTTCTTCGCTCATCCGTGAAAAATACTTTACGCACTCTTTGTTGATAGACTACTTTAAGAAAGTCTCTCCCTTTCTGTTCCAGATAAACGAGAGCTACTTGAAGCGGATCCCCGCCGACTGGGAATCAGCCGGGTCCTCCCACTTCAACCGTCGCACTCCCATGATCACCACGTCGGGCCTGGAGCTGGAGATAGACGGGAAGACGTTCCAGGGCGGCAAGGCGAGGCTGTCCTGCGTCGCCACTGTTTTCAATTTGTACCGCAGAGAGAAAGAGGTCGTGCTGGAGGAGGAGAGACCCAGACCCAGGCCGTCGTCGGTGCTGGGCACCCGCGACGCTGCTTCAGGTAGGGCGAGACGTAGTAAAAATTAATAACGATATCAAGTGGTGAAAATAAAGGCTTCCCGGTATCGATTCGAAAGAATGGCGGAGGCGCCGGTCGCGCCGGATTCCGGGCGTTCCGGCATCCGCCCGGAAATAAAATTTGCGGTAATGCCGGCGCTGATTTTATTTTTTTTATTACCAGCTAGGAATTTTTATTGCCGAGCGGGATGGAATGGTTGTAATGCCGTTGCTGGCTATATTTTACGGGCGTGTATGGAAAGGTTTTTAATGTCATTGTCTTTACGTGTTATTGTCGGCGTCGTTTTGCGGTCCGGCGTCGGGAATGAAATGTGTTCTCGCTCCTGAGAGCGGGTATGCCACGGTGATTTAATGGTAGGATCTAGGAGGCGGGGCGGATGCGTTTGTGATTTTAATCAGTCTGCCGTGTAAATGTTTCCTTTACATGAATGCTTAAGAAGTTGATGGTGCTATTGTTACATCTTTACGTCGCAATACGATTAACTTGCTCGTACTTGGTAACCGAGTTACTGAATTACACTACATACAAAGCAAATGAGATTGTCACATTTGAGACATGTCTCTTTCTCACTCTGTCACCTCTACTACAGTAGAACGGTACTTCATAGACGTAATATCCGGAATTTGGAATAAAAAAATATTACATGGTTGTATTACAATTTCTTTCTACCGTTTTCTACTGATCTTTTGAAAACTCCATTTTTTCAGTGTAGTTGGTGTTGGGCGCGGACTTAGATCGATAGAATTTGCATTAAAGTTCGCCCGCTCCGTCTGTACCAATCCAGAACTGCGGAATCAAAAGTTTAGACCGGATTTACATAAAAATGCTTTCAGAGATAGCCAAATTAACGCGGATAGGAATTGAATTTTTGCCCCCGCTAATGGAAAACTGGGTACGTGCAAGATAACGAGCGTTATTCGACTGGCCCGGTTTAGCGGGTGTAATTGTACCGATTTTTACTAATGGCGATACAACTGTGAAAAAAACGACGCTGTTTCGGTGTAAACCGAAAATAAAAATGCTCGGTACCAAATTTCGTGAATAGTGTATGTCGGTTTTAATTTTGCAGATTTTCCAAGAGTATTTTAAGTAAAATGTTTACCCTTGATATTTGAAATACTATTTCCTTGAAAATGTACGTTGTTACTACTTGCAGCAGTGCAGGATGTTCATAGTATGGGCCTACTGTAGGGATACAAAAAATTTAAATAAAATTTGGAACACGTGGTGTTAAATGGGATGAGATAAGCTCCATTGTCAATCTAAAGTATTATTAGAGTTTGAGACATCAAAAGAATAGTAGAAGCAGAAGCTACTCCCCAATAGATGGCGCTTTGAACAATCGAAAGCGTGTCCGGTTGGATATTCCAGCCTCCTAGGATATTACTAAAGTAATTCGAGTAAAATTCGGTCTACATTAAAAAGAATAACCCCACCTGAGTATCGAATGATCGACTTGAGTATGGAATTGTTGTACTGTCGATAACAATCTAAAGAAATCGTGAACCAGGCCAGACCGCGACGCCGCGAAATGGCGCAGTCACGTAGCGCCCAATAAAACTGTTTGGAATATGAGAGCGCGCGTTGTTTACTAAAATATTCCCCCTACACCTCCCCCCTCCCCACCGATATTTAAACGCGGGACAAGCCTGGTTCACCATAATAATTACCGTCTAAGTTTAAGGTATCATTTCGCAACGCCGAACAAAGCAAACATAAACGCGGGAGTTATGACGGGGATGCCAGCCAGGAATCCGGGCCGTGGAAATTCTGTATTAAACAAGGGACCACGTGCTTGAGATATTAAATGCATTACATGGCGGGGAAACCGTGGACTTTGCTCGTCTCCTTCGCATGTCCGGAATGAGGAATGCCCTCACAGATTTTATTGGGTCTAGCGGAAATTAAAATTTTTATTGCTCGGTATGTACACGGGGAAAAAGACGGATATTACTCGCTTGGTGTAGCAAAGGGTTAATTTTATTAATTAAACGTCCGTGAATGCAAAAAGAAAAGCTATAACTAAATTTTGTTTATTCATTTTGAATTGCGATTGTTAATGCCGGCCCCACGTCGGGCGCCAGAATTTCACGTGTTGGGATTTATATGTGAATAACAATTTTTTTTATCCCCTCGTTTTGAATTGTATTGTACAACCCCGGGTTCGATCGAAAAAAATAAACGTAGTTGTGGCCAAAAATGTGTGATCGTCATAAGGAATACCTACGTTGTATACATCTATTTCTAATTGACCGGAAGGCGCTGGCTACTAACTTTAAAGAGGGGAAGTATGTTTTAATTTTATAAAACAAAAGCAGAGTAAATACACCTAACTTTATTATTTACGTACAACAGTTTTCAAATTAAACATGTTACAAATAGAAAGAACACTAAAAACATTAACAATCATTTAGCATAAAATGAGAGTGCCAGGCTCAAATAGAGCTCCTGTGGGGAAAGAGCATGGCAGAGAAACCCACGATCGTTGCTCTAACTACCCAAATATAAATACAAAACAACCGATAACAAAGGCATAAATTAAGATCATTTGCTAATGATAAATAACACCCGACTTATCTAATTTCTCACTAAATGTCACCTCACTCGACTTTGACATACACACTTCCAAGTAAAACTGAAGAGGTTTGATGTTAATTAGCCGGCAGCACCGGAAGGTACTGGTGTCCCATACGGGAGGTAATCCAGCTATGAGTTGAGATTCCGGAAGATCTGTTTTAGCAATTATTTTTTCGTATTTAATTATTCTTTTTACAGATTCATTCCTCACGGGCGAAAATGTTAGTAAATTCAACAAGGCTCTTATATGCGTATGACATAAAGTGAGCACAAGAAATGCTTTATTATTTGTTTTTCGAACAATGTAATCATGATAAAACAAGTTAAATGTGAAACAAAGGAGTTGTTATTGCAATACCCGGGCAGTCACGACAATATATATATTTTAACATGTAATAAATAATGAGCAATCGTTAATAATAATTGTAACAATTTTACCTTAGAAAAATATATGCCCTTGAGCATAAAGCAATGGAGACTAAGCATACAAAGAACTATTATCATGAAACCTCTATAACCATCACAATCATAAGATTACATATAACAATTAACAACAAAGTACTTAAAGAATATTACCTGCTAATTAATACGGGTTAAACACTTTGATTTTTCACTATTTTTTCTCACTGCCCGCCGATCGTCTTACTCCCATCTCCACACTGTTCTCACTTCAACTCTTTAGGCTTCCTTCCAGAATTCCCCACCTAAGCGTTTGTTTTTGCGCTTCCTTCTACCAACTGTCAATATTACGTTTTCATTATTGTGCAAAACCCATGTAACAGGTGACGTCGAAGTTGATACGATAAGTATGGTTTTGCACAAAATGCAGTCTAAATACCTGCGCCTCAGGAGCGTGTTTTATCCCTCAAACTACTTATTTATCTGAAGTCGACAGAGAAAAACCCGATAAAGAATTCTGGGGATTGCGTTCTCGCAACGAACAAGTCTCTCAGTGCACGAACCGAAAAATCAAACAAAACGCAGTTACCCGGAGCATTAAAAGCATTGTTGCGGCCTTACGCTGCGGTTTTCCCTCTCTGTCGAGGCAGGGGCCTCCCGGATTTTATTGGCGTCTGAAATTAAAATTTTTAATATTCAGCGCATATGCGTCTCTCGACGTGCCGTTAAAATCCAGCAATAAGGGGGGACTTTGTGACAGTATTAAATATAGAGGAGGTTTTACAGTGGAGATACGTAATATGAAATACGATTTAAATGTTTTAGTGCCTTTTAAGGGTGGCGTCGCTGCTTTACAGCCCTCTATCCGATCTCCGAGCAATAAAAATATTATTAAATACATTGTCGGACGCGCAGGGGCACCGAGAAAACAAATTCGCTTAAATACACAAAAATAGTCTCTTACAAAAGCGTAATGTAGTATATAATTAACGATATGTACCCACTTAAACTTTTTGTATTCAAAAGTGCGGTAAAAATATTCGAAAGTGTAGTGAATATCCAAAAAAAGCATGCGTGTTTAAAACTTGTTCTTGCCCCATTTATCGTTCTTCTCTGTAATTCAGTAAATCCCCATCGGTACAAAATACCGCCCGATTACGGTCCGAAAATGTATACTTAAATAATGAGTTAGAAACTATGGTTTTCTATGCTTACCTCGCAATCTGCCGAATCCTCTGCAGGCGGGGCACTGACCGGAACAGGCTCCCTGGAGACTTCAAAGTTTTGGTCCGGGAACGCTGCGAAACTCCTCCGGAAATTGACATTCATGGACCTGTGGATGGCCCAGAGTCCCTACTTTCTCCGAAGCGCCGGAACTGGGAGTATATTACGTTTCCGGTTGGGCGACCACCTGAAAAAATAGATAGTTATCACCTCGTATGTTGCGTCGCACTGAGAAAACAGTGTACATTACATTATATACAACCGTACTTTACGCATACGTGCGTAAAGTACCTAATTTTACGCGCAAATGTCCAAAATTAACTAGCGGTAAGGTAATAATTGCATTCTATGGCATTATTTATAAATTGTTTAACAATTTAAATATAAACAATTTTGTGCGTAGTGTACAACGCACTTACAGTTATTATTTTAGGCATAGTAGCAGGGGGTGGTTCCTGAGAATCACTCTGGTTTGCTGCAAAGTGAGCAATGCGCTAATGTGAGTTGCTGCGTAATGTACACATTATTTAAAGTTAGTGTTTTCGTCTCGGTAACAGAAAAATATTATTTTCGTACTTGCGATTGATTTCGGTTTTATCAGTAAATTAATTACTTGGACAAGATATTCAAAAGTACGCAATAATAGTATTGTTGTCACATGTACAAAACTAAAGAAATATCTGTCACAGTCAATGTATATGAAATAGAACATAATTTTAAATATGGCAAATTAAAATGAACAACAAATATCTTTTGACAATAAGAGGTAAAATATTTACTTT